AGAGAATATCAATGTTATTGTATTTATAAAAGAAACTCACTTACAGTTTTGGTTAAAATTCTATTATTTAAAAATGCTGTGTTTCTGTATCATTTTATAATCTACATACAGATGTAAATTTAAGATTTTTTTACACACTGCAGAGGTGTTTACTATTGGCTGAGAACTGGGAGTTAATGGTTTACTGACCTGTAGTTCAAAGAGGATTTGGACAGGAAAAGCCAGAGTATCTGTTGGTTTAGTGTCCTAAGACAGTATTTCTCTTATTCTGTATCCATAGTTTTGCCTGGCTCACCTAGAAAAAGATTTTGTTTCATCTGCTGGGCAGATTAATGGTTGAAATATAAATTTTCCCAGTGATGCAATGCAAATTTCATCCTTTGAACCATTAATACCAAGAAGAGCAGAAAAAAAACAAAAATGCAGATACATGGCCTCCATATGTGCCCTGGTTGCTTTTCCTGTGCGCTGATTATTTTTTGGGTGAGTCAGGTAAAGCTTAGCTCACCTGCTAACATTGTGGCTCATTCTTCCCTGAAGGACAAGAAGACAGGCAGACAGGAACTGCCTCCTTACTCCTGGGCTTCCCGAAACAAGGATGCAATCAAGAAGAGACAGAGTGAGGGAGCAGGGCATGTGCTCTCAGCTAGACTCTAGCTACTCCTTGGGCGGGGAGGGGGGTCCTAGAGGAAGGAGTTTTAACTGTATTATATGAAGCTAAATGCAACTGTATAGAAAAGAGTTACCTGAGAACCTCTCCCAGCCAATCTTTCCAGTTGCTAGGGGCTGGCAACACCCAGAAAAGTGGTCGAGTGAGGTGCCAGTAGTATCCACTCTTGCATTTTCAATCCATATTTCATTTTGCATTCATTAGGCTGCATTCTGTTCGGAGCTGCTGCTGACTTCTTACTGCCTAGGGGAATCGCACCAGTGTGCACTGCCCTCTCTTTCTGTTTTCTGTTTTGGTCTTTCTGCTCTTGCTGCTTTCCATAAGCAGTCTGCCTTAGTCTTGAACTTGTTGCGTAAGCCCCTCCCCTTCCTATCTTCTTGATTGCTCCTTCATCTCCAACACTTTCTTCTTCCCTCCTTAAAGTTAGGCAGCAGAACTGTGATTTAGTCTTTGTTTTAATCAATTTGTACTTGAGTAAATTATTTAACTTCTTTGTGTCTCAATTTCTTCACTTCCTCTAGGGCAGGTGTTGCAAACCTGTGACCCTCTAGCTGCAGGCTGTTGGTATCATTGAAACCTCTAAAAGTTTTGCTCACCATTAATGCACTAGGGGCTTCTTAGCTGGTGGATTCAGATGAGAGGCTGTATTTTAAAGCCTGAGAAAATCCTCCCATCATATCCTTTTATAGAAAAACACACACAATTTCCTGTGCTCTCTTTATTCTGTAAACTTTCTTGTATTTATTGTGTCAGTTTTTTGGTGTTTACCCTTGAATCATGAGGCAACGTCACCTTTAGGGATGTCATCTTACCTAATCTGCAAGCTTCCCAGAGGTGGGTAACATTGCTTAACTAGCTTTCATCAAGGTTGATAACATAGATCTTCTTTGAGGTACATGCCCTTTTAAAAATAACAAAAGCACAGTGTGACTTCTTATATTTGAATTGTTAGAGTAAGGAAACAAAGTGCTTTTGTAGACTAGATGATTATAGTTGGAAAAATACAAGTAAATTTAGGTTTACAGTTAGAACAAATATTTAGAAATTGATGTTGGTATTCAGTGACACTGACCAAAAGCTGTCTGGAAAAGGGATGTCTTTATTAAATGAAGAATGTCTCATCCAAACGTATAAAGAAAATGAATTATTCTAACTACTGGTATACTAGGCAGGAAGTTTCAAAAAAGCCATCTTCCAATTAGTTTATTGGCTTTTTTCATATTTATTAAATTATAAACAAATGAAATGTGCTTTTAAACTATTTCAGATGTCCTTGTAAATTCAGATTTTGTTTTATTTACTCTTCTAAAAAATGGAATACTTTATTCTGGAATATTTAATTCTGAAATGTTTAGTTTTGGGATATTTTCTGGAATGTTCTTAGTGGAATGTTGAGTGATCTGGATGGAACTGTATTTCAAAAATGATCATAATCATCATGTTCATTTTGCTGGAACTTTATTTTATTTTATTTTCAATCATGCCCCAATAGACCAAACTTCTTAGCAAGTCTGACTCTCATGATTTCTCTCTATGTACTGGGCCTATTCAAAGGGCTACTGAACACCAGCCAAGATGACTCATTTTTTATCATAAGATGGGAAAAATATTTTTAATGTAGTGAAGCCTGAGGTCTCTGTTTTCAGCTACTGTTTAAATATCACCGATAGGTTAAGGTCATAAAGATGCACTGACTACTTTAAGATGAATAGTCCAGGACTACTTAAAATCTGAAATAGGATTGTGATGAAGTAATACAACTGGGCCATTTCACAATAAACGGGCTTTATTTCCTCCTTTACCTCCCCCTATAGCTTTAAGTAAGGGGATGGGGAGGGAAAAAAATGTGAGAGACCTATAGGAATAGGAGTGTTTAATTAACCCATTTCTGCGGCAGTTAGCATTCATTCCCTATTAAGACAGTTGGTTTATCTGTGTCTCTCAGCTGAAACTTAAAAGATGAGAAAAGATAGGATATTTGGAATGTTATATATAGGGAGGCATTGCTATCAGACATTATTGAAGAAGGAGAAAAATAAATTTGAAGCAATGAACATCTGTTATTTTAAATCATTTAAAAAACGTAATATATTTCCCAAAAAGGTGCTAATCTAAATGGACAAAAATTTAACAATTCATTCTGCAATGATATGAAATAAAAATATCTTAAATTGGATATTGCAGTTTGTAGAAGGGTAGCTATTTTGTGTAAAAATGGCTTGACTCATCAGGTGGTGAATATTTCTTCAAATTGCAGTAAAGAGAATAAAATAAGCTTGTCATTAAAGATTTTTTTATTGACATCTTTAGTTTGTCTTCATGCCAGTAATTAAATTGCTAATTATGTGTTTCTGTTACTGTGGTCATGCTTTTATTATATAATTGCTTCAACTTTAGCTCAAATCACTAACAATATTTATTTAACCTTTTTGTGCATTAGATAATTTTAATATATAAAAGCTTTGGAATGAGTTCATTGACTCTTTTGATTAGAGAAATCAAATACATTCTAACCTTTCTTATAGTTACATGGGTTGTTGGTCATGTTTTCAATGAGATTGCTGATAATTATTCATTTGAGCAATACCAATCAATTGAAAAAATCAGTTGAAATAGAAGGAAAAAATAAAAAGGAAACTTTTCAAAAATCTGTTGGCTATTAAAAATATAATGATATTGCTTGAGGATTTGGAAATATAAAATTAATAATTTTATTTGTAATATATGTCCATTTTTTCAAAAAAATTTGATTAAGTTGTGGATAATTCATTTGTCAAGCTTCTCCCCTCCCCCTTTGAATGCAGGCATATTTTTTGTCAGTGTTTCAATATATTTATCATTTTTTTCTAGCTTGTTTATTTATGCAAACCATAGGAGACGTTTTTTCTCACCGAGGATTGCCTCTTTATTTTATTTTGAAATATTTGTATATTTATTTCATTAAATGAGATAATGCTTTTTCCTATTAACATAATTTCCAGTACATTAAACATATTTCTCCACAGACAGAAGAGAAAAATCAAATTAAATGACAGCTAAATCACCTGCAGCATTTCCACTGTTAACAGGAATAAGTGTCTCTGTTTCCTTTGTGATCGCAAGATGTGCTGTAAAGGGAAATGAAATACTAAAGAAAGAAGAGAAAACATAAAGAAATAATGATTGACTTATTGCATTAATACCATGGAGAGGAGAAAAATTCACTACAGATAAAGGAAAAATAATATAGTGGATTTGAAAGTTACCAAAATTCATTTCTTATTGATGAGTTTAGTGGAAGCCAAGTATTAAGTAAACTGATGAAAAAATCAATACAATAAACTATGAGTGATGAAAGTTGAAATAAATACTTTGTGTATGGAGGACCATTATTCTAAATGTCTTTAATTTTTTAATAATTCATGCTTTTTGTTTGTAAGAAAGGAGGAACTATTGGTTGGTGGACTCAAAATGCATGTAAAAAAATCACTCACCAGAGTCCCATATTTAGGAGTAAGTAAAAATATTAGTGACCTTTTGAATTTTACTGTTATGTCCTGACTTTAATATAAATACATTGGGGAAGGTAAGCTTGACTTATAAAAATAAGAGTGTCGGCAAAAGATCCTGATAAATTTATACAGCATACTTTATAGACGACAAGCTGTTTTCCAAAATGGAAATTAATTTTGGAGGCTAGAAGGGCAAAATTTCAGAAAAAAAACTATTTTTAGTAAAGTGGAGTATGCCTGTGCATCCGCTGGGGGTCTGTGGTGACACAGCTTGGTAAAATCAACATTGCTGCTCACACGTATGTGTGCGTGTGTGTTTGTGTGTGTGTGTGTGTGTGTGTGTGTGTGTGTGTGTGTGTGTGTGGCATCGTTTCTGTTCTGGTCAAGTTGCACATGTGTTCAAATCAGCATCCAGGTTAGCTAGGTCTGCATGTGTGCAGGTAGGTTTATCTACTTATTTTCTCTCTTCTCATGCGTCATTAACAAAAGACTAGTTAATTTAATCAGTTCAATCAGAAGTAATCAATAGGGAAAACTATTCCAGCCATTTTCACTGACTTGATGGGGACTGAAATATGAATTAACCTCCCATACAGACTGTTCTGTACCCCTTTCCTCCAGTGCTGTCTTTTTCATTTCTCCCTCCTTTCTTTTCTGTCCACGTCCTCAGCCTTCTCTAGTTTCTGTCCCTTTGGTCCTCTGCAACATGCTTTCCAATGTTAAGGTTTATTTCTGAATCTCCTGTTCACCCTCGACTGCTGGCACCCTCTACACTCATCTCACCCTGCTTCACTGAAGAAAAACTCTAAAGCTGATTTTTCCTTTTTTTTGAATTACAGACTCTTGAGACTGTTGCTTTGCTGAAAACATTTGACAGCTGCTCTGGAATATGACACTTAAGGTAATAATTGTGATTTTTCTATTTTTAGAAACCTTCCCATTCCAAGGGTTCATGGGTCCCGACTGCGTGTGAACTTGGGGACCGTGTCTCACACTGTTTTCTCCTCGGTGTGGAGCCTTTGTGAGGGTTTGTGGCGTTGAGAGGCAAGTAATTTTCTGGAGGGAGAGGAGGGCAAGTGTTGGGGGTTAGTGGTGATGTTCAGGACCACTCTTGTGTGCCCACTTAGGAAATATTTCCTCTTATCTTTTGTTTAGGATGCGGGGGATAAGGCACAAGTGCAGGCCACATGCAAGGGATTTTGAATTATGCATTAAGCTGATAATTCCCCGGAATGCAAGCTTATGCCAGTAAAAACTAGAGTGGTAGGAGAAAAGCATTCACGTTACCAGAGCAGCGGGCACCACACGGAGACAGAGCTAAAGGAAAACAAGGTGCAGGCCGAAAGGGTTTACAGCCTTTTGGCTTCCTCTGATACAGAAGCAGGAGGAGTACGTCAATATTGAAACTATTGTCTACGACATCTTTGCTTTTAAACTGATTTAGCCAAAGTAACAAGATTATTTGCAGTGTAGCCCTGTCTGGGTAAGTTTACACTTGTAGCAAGAGTTAATCTTATGTAAAGAAATTCTGTCTGGAAGAGAAATTTGCTTGAATCCTTTGATAGGAACCATAAAAGAACCCTTTGAAAAGGCAAGATTTTTCACGATGAAATTTGGCAACATTCATAATAGGCCACTTAAGGTTTTGTTTCACCAGGTATCTTCCTGATTAATATGTAGTAGGAAAGCAAAAGTTAAGCAAGTAGAGGAAGCACAAGGATTAAAAGAATGCTATAAATTAGCTCCCTGGCACTCTGTACAGCTCTAGCCAGTATGCATGAGAACGATCCTTTAATCTTTGCCTCCCCTGCGTTAGTTAAATGCACTTATGAATGTGACGATGTTCTGTGAGGAATGAACAGTGGAGCAAGTGTGCCTACATAACAGCATCAAAAATGTTTAGCTGTATCTCCCATGGATTTGCAAAGCGTCTGGACACTGGGAGGTGAGACCCTAGGAGGTGGACACCTGAACCCTGGCCTACTTTTCTCCCCTGCAAAAAGCAATGGGATTCTGTATGTATTTCCTCATTTTCCTAATGTTAGAATTTGCAGCCTCTGATTCTGCAGTCTGAAGCCTTTGCACAGATTCTGCATGCAACCAATGTTTTTGGGAGGCCTGTTCTAAATGCATACGTGCGTTTACACACCAACAGATTAAAAGTGGGTCTGGGAAAACACCCTTTTCCTTGGAGAGTCATATCAAACAGTGTTTAAATTAAATAATTTGCAGAGTGGGGAATAAAGCTTTTGGAGCAGTATCCAGAGGTTATCTTCCCTTGGGAAATTCCCGCCATTTAGTACAATCTGGTGCATGCCAGTAAAACACACATGCATACATACACACACTAGTAGATAGATTTTATTTACATCTAAATTACATTTATTTCTTTGGGTTATCTGTCATTTTCTCCTCATATTTTGGGAAAAAAAGAGCAAACTTCTTGTGAAAGGTTAAGGTCATGAAGATCTAAACAAAAGCAAGGAAAGATTCTTACTGATCAGTCATGAGGGAAGGCTGACTGTCCTGGCATGGGGCCAGTCACCCCACAGCTCCTAGAAGGAGCAGGACTGTGATCAGGAGGTTGTTTGATTTAGCTCCCGCCCATTGACTGATGGCCAACGAGGAGCCATCGCTGTGATGAGGTAATGTGAATAGCTAAACCACAAGGAGCTGAAATTGGTTGCTGTCTTCCTATTTGTCTTGCATAGCCAATATCTAATCTGAATTGGATATTAAGGTTTCACTAGAAGAGCTCCCCTGGTTAGTTAACTCATTCATATATAGCTGGATGCATTCGTGACTTAATCCCATGCCCGTGACTCAGTGGAGACAGCAAGGGTCATCACAGTAAGGGCAATGGATAAGATATTAACGGGGGCAAAGATGAGAGGGGAGAAACAGGGATAGGGATGGCAAGAGAAAGGAGGTATCTACCTAAGCGAGAGAAGTTTAAATAAAACTGAGTTTAAGCATTGACATAAGCCTCAAAAAAACCCAGTTATTTTCTTTAAATTTATTTTTGTGTATCTTAGACTCCTACTTTTTCTCCTTATCTAAGAAAATTCTGGTAAACTAATACTAGCCTGTATTGGAGCTCATTCTTTGACAAAAATACTGGTAGATTAGCTTGCTGGGGCTACCTTAACAAAGCACTACAGATTAGGGGACTTGAACAACAGAGATTTATTTTCTCACACTTCTAGAGGTTGAAATTCCCAAATAAAGCTCTTGGCAAGACTGTATTCTTTGAATGATTCACCTTGCAGATAACTTCCTTCCTTCTGTGTTCTGGAATGGTTGTTCTTCAAGTACAGAAGTCCTCTTTGTGTGAGCACAACTAGTCTGGCTAATAGGGACCACAGGAAGGTGTTACTTTGATTTAGTCAGCTTTTAAATGACCTTATCTCCAAATCTGGTTATGTTCTGAAATACTAAAGCTTAGGGTTTCAATGTATGAATTTTCAGGGCCCCATAATTCATAACAAATCACTTCCAATACATTTGGTAGACTTACTATTTTTCATTCATTTTTGATGACTAAAAAGATTTAGTTCCTTGCTTCTTTTTTCTTCTTTATTTTTGTTAATAATTGAAAATACTTTATTACAATTCATATAGGTGGTATGTTTTATTATTTTAAGAGGTGGGATTTGGAGAGGATAAAAGCTTACTTAAGAAACGAAACAAAACAAATTTATTTATTTTTTTTTAAAGAGACCACCTCCTGTTTTTAAACTGTAAGAATTAAATGAGCCACTTGGTATTAACTCCATCACATCTGATCTTGGACAAGTTACTGAATCACATTGTGCCTCTCACTCCTCTGTATAACATGTTGAATAGAAAGAGTATATGATATGTAAAGTGCCTAGCAAGATGCCCATTTCACAGTAAATTCTCAATAAATATTATTTATCTGATATCCATAACAACCAGAGACAGTAACAGAATGTAAAGTGTGCCCTAGTGATGGACAAAATTTAATGCCCTCTTGGATTTTATAACAGATTTTCTTTCTGCTCTGTGGGTGGAATTAGGAGTAGGTTCTTTATGTATATTTTAAGTGGACTTGATGTAGACTTGGACCCAAGAAATGTGAGTAAAGCAAAAACACATTTTCCCCATCTCATGGTCTGGGGTCAAAATGCATAGTAAAGCGTGAGATTAACAGCAGAGAAGAGTGACTGGAATCTTCTGAGCGCCTGTGATCTCCCAGGAACCCAGTTTTTCTTCTGTGGGAACTCTCACCCTGTGCTGCCCGAGTGGACAGACCCACTTTGTGTTCTCTGGTCTTTTAGATGGACGAGTTACCAGCCCTCCCTCTGTGTACTGTGGGCAGTGCTCTGGTCTTGTGTACTAAGAGGCCCAGACACAAGAGGGGATACTGGGCATTTGGAGCTAGGCTGCCAGATAGTTACGCTGATGTACTTTCCAAATACATAGCTAAGAGTCCAATATATTTTGTTGGGTAGACAAAGTTTTGCCTGCAGCACTCAACATGCTGTATATGTATAATCAACTTTCATCAGCCAACACTTTATTTTTAAAACTCTTACAGTTCAACCACTGTGGAAATAATCTTGTGATCATACAAATCCAACTTTCTATTATTTTTAAATGGCATTTTCTTCAGGAGCTCTTGGCTCCCTAAAATACCTCATGATCTATATATACCAAGCTTTTGCCCTGGAATTTTGAGAGTAGTTGGAGAAGGAGAGTTACACTTGAATGGAAGACAAAAAGTCCTTGAGCTATGTGAAAATAAATCAAACACTAGTGATAGAAGATGTTAAATATTTGATAGATAGGAGACAATGTATTACCTCTTTGTATTTCTTATCTCATTTAATCTGCTCCATAATCCTTTAAGATGTTTATGTCATGTGAAGTTTAGGGATGGCCAGTGGAGCGACATCAGTGAATGACTCAAACTCAGGTATCTGGACTGCATTGTAATCTATGGCAGCATTGCTATATATCAGTGGTTCCGAGAATCAGTTGGAGGAGTTAAAATTCAGCCCATAATTTAGTACTGTATTTTTATTCCAAAGATATTAAAAATTGAAATTTAAAAAATCATGAAGTATGAAAATGTAACATAGAAGTTGGCTATTTATAATTGTCCTTATGAAAACTCATTTTAAGAATAAAAAGTCTGTGTATGTATACTATATGCAAAGTTTAAAATGAAGTAATAAATCTTTTAGAAAGTAAGAAAAAATTAAATCATACAACAGGAAAATAAATGCAAGATTCCTGAATGGACAGTTAATAGAAAGAATGAATATAAAAAATGAGCATGAAGTGAAATTGAATGACATTTTAAATGAGATACAATTTGCTTACACATTAAATTGGTAAAAAATATTTTAAATTATGAAAAATATATAGCACAAAGAAGTTGTAGAGAAATAGGCCCCCTTGGTCTTCTTGTAGATGAACATAGAAATTGCATAATCTTTTAACAGGGACATTTTTCAGTAACTCTGAACATTTTATATCCATGGATCTTTGATGCAGACACCTGCAATGCAAAACCATTTGCACGTAAATGAAGAAAAAGTATGTCAACAAAATATCATTTTGAGGGATTTTATTTGTAAGTGTAACTAATGTTAAGAATACTAGAGAAATCACAAAAAAGCTGTAATATTTATGATTTATTTATAGTACAAATACTAAATGACTTAAAAATAACATGTAGATCTAGATGTAACTGGTATAAAATAAAATGAAAAAGTAAAAGAAAAATTCTGGACAACTATGTATAACTCAACTTTGATTATATAAAATGGTCCATGTATTTTTAGTCATAAACATATATTGTGTTTTCATTAAAATTTTAATAAATGTCTTCCCAAATGTTACTAAAACTACTTGAGAATTTTGCAGAAAAGT